AGCACTTGGGTCGCCCAAACATTTTTCCCAGTCTTGGTTGGCATTTTATTGGGCTTCTATAATTATTCCATTGACCCAACTAAATATTTGATAGTCCATACTCAATATTATGGGCCCGATAAATAATTTAATTAATCATGCATTAATTAGATATACCAATCTGTCACACGAAATTATTCGCTAGAAATTTCAAATACATACTGAATATTAAATTCAAGTACATCCGGGAGCGGTGTCACAAGACGAGCGAAGTACAAGGCGGCGAGGCAAGCCTGGGGGCAGCGTTGAGAGGCTAGTCGGCGGAGGTTTTAATTGGGTTTGTGCTACGATCATCTCACTTGGTTGGAAAGGGAACTACCATCTCACTCGGTTGGAGCTGTGGAAGATTGAGCAAAGGAGGCAGACCCTCTGAACGATTGGAGAGACGTTTCCACCAGTGCTCCGATTGAGACTGGTTTTTGACAGCCTCGATTGCAGGAATAGTTGGATTCGTTCGGGCTTCATGGTGCGAACGGCTGAGGGAGGGGACGGGCTTCGTGGTGCGGCAATTTGGATGAATTCGTTCGGGCCACCCTGAAGGCAGATGACGGCGGCGAAAATCACAGCTTCGGATGCGGCGAATGGGAGGCTAGCGCTTGTTTAGACCATCACCTCGGAAAAATCGTGCTCAGGCGGTGTTGAAGTATCAATCTTAGAGGTCCTGTTGGTCCGACCTTCTCCTGAACCACCGTCATGGATTGTACGAGTTGGAGCTTTGGCTAAATGTGCAAGGCCTCACTTAGCTACAAAGGATCAAGATTAAGAGAGCTTGGGAAGCAGGGACAGGCTCGTTTAGATTGCATTTTGTTTGGGTGTGTTATGCTTATGTGGTGGGTAGGCATTTTTTGCTAAGAGGTAACATGGCTCTAAAAGTTGATATAATTTTCAAATCTCTCAAATGGTTAGCAACTCGATCCGCTCTAGTTAGGGTGGTCATATCTATGTCTGATCAGGGAGTGAGGGGACCTTCGGGTTATGGTGGGTTTGGTACCAGGAGGCTGTTCAGAGTTGAAAAGTTTGTAATGTCGTTGGTTCTGGAATTCTAATATAATTGTAAGTTTTCTTTCAAAAAAAATTATAAATTTATAAATTTGATAGTTGAAGAAGCATTGAAGGGCTCAATCCACTATAGACAATAACGACTATAACAAATACACCTTGTGTCAGGCAAGCCAGATAAGCTCAAAATGAGATAACATATTTAAAATACAACACAATTATTAAATGATATGATAAAGAATAAGAGAAATTAAAATGGAGATTTATATGATCAGGGAGAGGCAAAAAAGAAAAGCATTGTAAATTACAGAAAAATAAAAAAATATTTTGTAAGTTTTTTTGGAAGAAGATGGCTTATATTAATAATAATGAACGTGAGCAGGATACAATCAGACAATGAGCCCATTGTCTACTGTCCGCCCTTGAACCAGACTTAGAATCTGACATCACAAGAGAAGCAACCAGATTCGTTGATCCTACATTGGACTTATCTGAGCCAATGACTAGCAAACTAGACTCCCCATCATCAATCCTATGTTCAAGAGTCTTGACGTAGACAAAATTAAATGCTAACAAAAAACACGATGTCCAAAATAAAAAACAATAATGAGAGAAAAGCACTTAAAATCTAAAATAAATGCACTCTGTTCAAGGCACTCCATCTTCACATATTTAGGCAGGTCTAGGTGCTCCAACCCGCCTCTTCCTCGTTTTTTGTACCATCCAGATCCATGACATCCTCTTCTGCTTGATCTTGCTCCTGCTCATGCGCCTCCCAGGTCCGCCTCCGTTTCTGCTCTCCCATTCCGCTGTTATGCCTTCTTGCATCCTCCAGCTTTGCTTCATCCTCCTCCGCCTGAGCCTTATCATTTGTATGGTTCTTACCCTGTTCTTTTTCCTCTGTAAGGTTTCTTTGCAACCCCTCTTGATCTCTTCTCCCCCCTCCTTCATTCATTAGCCATTTATTACCCACAGAAAGGTGAGGTCGACCGCCCTCCATCCACCCGCAGTCAGGGTCCAAAAGATCTCTCACCAGCCTTAACCCCTTTTTCGTACAATAAGGGATAAAATTTTTCAGCATGTCCTATAACTCTACACACAAAACAAAAACTAGGAAGCTTTTCATACTTGAAGTCAACCCAGTAACCTTCCCATTTGCCCTTTTTTAGAGTTGTTCCAACTTTTAGGGGTTTCCTCACATCCAGCATCACGTGCACCCTCATATAGGCTTCCCATTTTTCATCAAATTGTTGATCATCACAGGACATAAATTTTCCCAAATGATTCCCAATTTTGCGGGCAATACCCGGATTTGAGAAACCATAGGGGATGTTGTGCACCTGTACCCAAAAATCAGCCGTATCTAGGGGCACTCTTAAAGGCATATCTCCCTGCTTAATAGTTTTTAACACTAACATAGTCTGATCAAATAACCAGGGACCATTGTCCAGCACACGATTTATATCGATTAAATGATAAAAAGTAAACATATACCTCTTTTCCCCAATCTCTTGAATCTGTACACATTTACCCTGACGCCATAGAGACGTCATCAAATCCCGGAAGATTTGGAATTTCATAACTTTGTCCGTGAGGATCGTACTGACCAAGAGTAATGTATCCAACGCCCTGTTCGCTGTTGCAGGGTCAAGTTCTGCCTCTTCCTCGTCATCCAGCGAGAGTTCATCCTCCATTCCCCCAGGACCAGCCCGTCGTACTGAATCGCCAATTTCTCCATGCTTCCTGCACCCGCCGCCGCCAAAGAATCCCCATCCCCGTCGTGGAGCGCCCTGCTCGTTTGCTCTTCCGAACCTGCTTCGTTCTCCATCCGGCCACTGCTCTTGCCACACAAATTCAGCGGAGGTCTCGAAACCCTACGTAGAGGGAAGGCCACACCCCACGATTAATTATTTTGTAAGATTGTAAAACAAGAATCCCTAAATATAATCACACTAAAACATATGATGCACGGAGAATGAAAGCAAAAAGTTTAGGGTGTGTTTAGGAGTTGGGTTTTGGAGGGGAAGGGAAGGTTGATGGTGTTTATGACCCTCCTATTTATGTTTGGGAGCTATTTTTTTTGGAAGGAATGGTTTTGGAGGGCTTTTGTGACTCTCCAAAACTATCTAAATGCTCAATTTTCAAGCTCTGCCAATTTGAAAGATTTTGAAGAATAATTAACGAAATGGTAATTTAAGCTCAACTAAAAATAAATATCAGTTCAATTATTTGAATTCATCATATTTCAAAGTGATTTTAATTATAATTCATTTAAAAACCATCTTCTTTCAAATTTATTACTCTCAAATACAAAGAAGAGCTTCCTCACCCTCCCCTGTCTTTCCCCTCCAACAACATACCTCCAAAGCTTTCTTATCCCCTTTCCTCCACACTCCCAAACATACCCTTAGAAGTTTAGAGTCTTGCTTGGTGTACCCCATTCTGGGGTACCCATTTGTACCACACCATTTGTACAATTAAGCCACACAATATGGGTACAAATGGGGTACCCAAATGGGATACTATAGTATTTTTCAAAAGTTTAATACAAGTTGATTGGAGTCATAAATTACTTCATTCGCTGTTAAAAAAGAGAAAATTCTCGAAATAGAAGTAAAACGTTTGAAAATTTCAAAATATGACTCATTTTTTTTGAAGGTATGACTATCATATTTTTATTCTCTAAATAGGATTATGCACGCCAAACTTGGAAAATAATGCCAAGTTGCCTATTACTGTCAAAATAAAAATATAATAATCATATTTTGAAATACAAAAACGTTTTTAGTCTTACTTATGACAATTTTCCTTAAAAATATGTTCTCTCATTTTTGGTAAGAAGGTTGGGGACAATTATTATACCATAGAATCGGCGCTCGGTGCACACAATACTCACTTGCATCAGGAGCACTGTAAGTGCGAGTGAGTTCTGTGTAACTGTTGTCGGTGCATAAGTGTTTAGTGTAATTCATGTTATACTTTTGTATAACTCATACTATATTTTTTATATAAGTCCCTTTTTAAAAAATGTAAATAAGTATGAAAAACGGGTAAGAGTTTTTAATACAAATAGTTTGTCTTTGGTGTAAATGTCCTACATTACAATGTACAGAGTAAATGATATTGTCAATGTTTAAAAAACATGTGATTAACTTGTAAATGTAAATATTTGGTATAAGCACATGTTAGATATTTGGTATAAATTGCGATATACAAAATATAATCGCATGTTGTAAATGTGTAACTCACGTTATACAAAATGTGAAGCAATATGCAAGTCACGTTATACAAATGTGATTTGTATGTGTCAAATATAAAATAATCATGTTATACAAAATCTAAATTCATTGTGTCAACTGTCAAATATGTAAGTGTAACATATTTTTTTATATAATTTAAGAAATACGATAAAATTTGTTGAACTTCAAATGTGAATCACATGAAGTGAAATACATAAGATAGAGTTTGGTGAAACATTACAGACTTTCAAATACCAAAACTAAATTTATTTTGTTTTAAATTAGCACAACTTTATTTGATAATCGACAGAAAAGAAAAGACCTAAATTCAGAGTATTATTATGATGATATAAATAACATAATTGAATATTATCCAAGAGATAGGAGGAAGATAGTCGAGAAAGTAAAGAAAGATCGCAAAAGGAAACATAGTATAATAAATCTATTATCTTTCCAATAAGATAATCCCAATTTCGAGGGTCCCACGCTCCGATCCGACAAGACTTTTGGGAGATTGTAAGTCACAATGACTTAGTCGGCCCAATGGTAGTATATCTTGTATCGTGCGCAACGAAAGTCCAATTCAGCGGTAAGAGATTTAACCTTCAAAAGGGCGGATAACGAAAATAGGTGTAGTGTTTTTAACTTCTCCATTTCGTTTTTGTAGGTGCAATGTGAATGTATAAATTAATTTGCAGATTGGAGAAGAAGGGAGGGGATATTTATTTGCATTTAATTTAAATAAAATAGGTGTAGTGTTTTTAACTTCTCCATTTCCTTTTTGTCAAGAAAAAAAACTTCTCCATTTCGTTCGTTAAGAGAGAGCTTTCGTTTTTAACAGATTTCCCGCGAGATACAAGGCTTTCTTCCATGGCGATCTTGTGGTAATTGCGTGTACTTTTTATACCCTGGCCGCCTGTAGTAATCATTCAACATTCAAGTTGATAGCCGAAAAAGAATGAAAAAAGTTCCCTCTCTCTCGCACCCGGATCTGATGCTTCACGTCGCACGCTAAGCAGTGCGTCTCTCGCCGTTAGATAAAATCTGGCCTATCTTGACGCGTGGGACCCGCCGCTATCGGACGGCCTTCGCTCCAGCCGGACAACGCATAAAGCGGTCTTCTTCTTCAACAAAACGCACTAAGCTTCTTCTTTTTAACCTTTTTCTGATTTTTCAATGTACAAAACTGTACTCGACGAAAGTAACTGAACTAGATGAGAGGTTGAGTTAGCACGGTAGACGCAATCGTTTTGCTCGCTAGTTCTATGCTCGGCCGATTCCGTTGATGCGGCCTGAAGCGCTTCTGGCTTCAGGTGAGTCTCTTTATCGTTCTCCTTCTGCTAAGTAAAGCTTAAGTTGGTATTGCTTGATATTTGACGTAAAATCAGCATATTTTGTTGAGTTTATTTCCCCATTTGGTTGAGAATCTCTGCAGTATTGGATCAGCTGATGTGTAGAATTAGGGGTTTCACGATTGGATTTGGATAAAATGAAGAAGGAAATAGAGCTTCGTTCGTTTACTTAATGTTCTGCTTCATTGGCAATTTTCAGATTTCTGATTTGCAGCAAGTGGGGATTCAATTGATGACCAACATAGTCGCTTCTGAGGAAAATCAAGTATTGGAGTTTGCATACTTGAGCAGTGCATGGTAAAATTATTCAGTAAATTGAGAAAAGGGGCGAGTTTGTTGGATGGAGACTGCTAAGCGATGGTTCAGTAAGTTCCGCCTTAAAGAAAAGTCAAAACCTTCCACGAAGAAGGAAAGCACAACTAATGGGAAGGAATGCTCGAAAACTGCTGTCAATGATGAAGTACCGCCATCAAATGCCACTAAGCAAAAGGTTGCTGCTGCAAAGCAGTATATAGAAAAACACTACAAGGAGCAAATGAAGAGCCTGCAAGAGCGCAGGGAACGGTATAATTACAGTGTTCTAAGTAATTTTGTAACATTTTAGTTATTCTCACCTGCCTCGAGCAAATGCAGAAACTTGGTTTGCCCCTGTTGCTCTAAAGCACCATTTTGTGAAGCTTTATAGTTTAATGTTTTTTGTAAGAAACTAGAATATTAACTATTTGCTAATTCTACTTTATATTGATGAACTTCAATTAATATCCTCTTTGGCATTGCTATCTGGGAAAAAGTGGGATTGATAGGTGGAGTGTAATTTCAAGACTTCCAAACAATCAGTGTGAATTGTTTTTAAAATGTAATTCAATGAATCAAAAGCATTTTCATCCCATTATATGGATAAGAAGACTGAAGAGAATAAGGCCTTGTTTGGTTGGTGGATATCCGAAGGGAGAGAAGGGGGGGCATTGGGTATGATATTTATTGATATTTATTTTATTAATTTATTCTTACATCTAGATTTGCCTCCGATATCATGTATCCATTCATGTTAGCTGGCCCCAATGTCTTTTGGGACTAAGGCTCGGATGTTCTTGTTGTATTCTTACATCTAGATGCTTGAGAAGAATTTGAATATGAAATTTAATATAACATACTCGAGTTAACTAAACATATACCCCGTAGTTAATTTTTTACTCTAAGACAAAAAATAGAGATAAATTTGTGTAACAAAAACCATTTCTCCCTTTCCTTTCTCTCAGAAATCCTAACAAACAAGGCCTAAGCGTTCTAAAGCTCATATTTATATTTTACAGTTTTGTTTCCTTTAACATCTTACATTTCTCAAGTCAGCTTCTAAAGGTCTAGTCTCCTTGAACATTAGGAAATGCAATGATGCTTTTGTGAGGCAGCAACAAATTTGCAAGAAACTTTGAGACTTTACTAAGCATGATGGTGGCTAATTACTTCGAAAATAAAAAACAAAAAACTAAACATGATGTGATGTATTTCTGCAATATGTTGCAGACGTAACATGCTGGAAAAGAAACTAGCTAATGCTGAGGTTTCTGAGGAGGAGCAAAACAATATCCTGAAGTGCCTTGAAAAAAAGGAGACAGAATTTATGCGCCTTCAAAGGCATAAAATGGGTGCTGATGACTTTGAGCCATTAACAATGATAGGAAAGGGTGCATTTGGCGAGGTATGGACCTATCCATGTTTTAAAATTTCTTTCACCTTAGCAAAATGAATGTATGAAATTATATGTAAACTCTGCTGGTCCTCCCAAGGCAATCTGACTTGCAGATACCTCGAGCACTGTAGTTTCTTGTAATATTTTTAATTGTTTAAAACAGTAAATTGTGTGAACAAAAGATTTTATCAACAAACCATGAGTTATGCTTTAAATTTGAGTATGTCCTTGCTTTATGTGCTCTCTTCATGGACTTCACCCTACATGTGAAAAAATCATTCTTTATTATGCACAATTACATAAATTCACATAGCGCCGGCAATTAAGGAAAAGTGCTGCTTAATGGTGCATAAATTGTTTGAAGTCAATACTTCTTAGTATGAAACCGGTGTTTGACTGGCCATGGAAAGCTACTTTTGCCATCTTAATTTAGAGTTTGTGAGACAAACTTCACTCACACAACAATGACTTCATCTAGGCGGCAAGTTATATTTCTATAAAATTTTGGACAATTACTTTCTTATTTTCTGTAATGCCAGATCCCCTAAACTATACTCTTTAAGATTTCAGACCCACTAAACCATTGATGATTCATTAGTTTTCAGTTTCTATGCAACATTCTACAAGTTTGAATGAAAAAACTATGTCAAATTATTTTAGACTGTAGGAAATAGTCCCTGGGTAGTGGTAGTTACAAAGTTTTTGAAATGTTGTCTGTGACTCTGCGTCTATCAGAAGTGATTTCTTATCTGGCTGACTAGTAATAAGGGATTCTTGAAAATTTGCTAATATGGAGGTTTTGTTCTATAATTGGTCTGCTTAATTGAAATATACCAATGTATGATTTATTTCAGGTTAGAATATGCAGGGAGAAGACAACTGGCCACATCTATGCCATGAAAAAGCTCAAAAAATCTGAAATGCTTCGTAGAGGCCAGGTGAAATAATAATTTTTTCTTACCAAATTGCCAAATGGGTGTATGGAGAGTTTATTTGTTTTATGCTTAATCTGTATACCCAACTCCATTTCCAGGTTGAACATGTCAAGGCAGAAAGGAATCTACTTGCAGAGGTTGACAGTAATTGCATTGTCAAGCTGTACTGTTCTTTCCAAGATGATGAGTATCTATATCTAATTATGGAATATCTTCCTGGAGGTGATATGATGACTTTGTTGATGCGTAAGGATACACTAACTGAAGATGAGGCAAGATTTTATGTTGGGGAAACAGTGCTTGCCGTAGAATCTATCCATAAGCACAATTATATTCACAGGTGGGTGCAATTTCCTTTTGTTCATTTGATAAGATGTCACATCCTATTTTATGATATTGTTGTTTACAGTGTTTCAAGAGGAATTATCAATATGTTTTCCTTTTGCATTCTTTCAAAATTTTGCAGAGATATAAAGCCTGATAACTTGCTTCTTGATAGAAATGGTCACATGAAATTGTCTGACTTTGGATTATGTAAACCATTGGACTGTAGTAATCTTCATGAGAAAGATTTTACCATGAGAAATGACTATAGTGGTGCTCTTCAAAGTGATGGGCGTTCTGGGCCTCCAAAGCGCAGTCAGCAAGAGCAACTGCAGCATTGGCAGAAGAACAGGAGAATGCTTGTCAGTTTTCTACTATGCCTAATCTTTTTTATTAGCCTCCACCAAACACTACCTTTCACTTTGTGTGGGGCCAGATGATCGGAGTTAAAGTCATATTCACTTCTTGACTTCTTCGCATTTCTTTGGTCATATTCCATTATTTGCATGTTGGTTTTACATTATCAATACTGTAATGAGACATGATTATAGTAATTATATCAATTTATGGCCGCCTCATGATATTTTTCAAGCAAGGAAAAATCTATGATGTTGATGGTTTTGAGTTTTCCTCAGTATGCTTTTGTAAGAAGGGTGCGACAGCCGACAGGAAGGGCATCTGTTGTAAAGTTTTTCCACAAAGTTTTTTCCTGCACTTGTACTCTTATAGTGTTGATTAATTCTTAAAAGCGAATGGACACTATAAATTTCATGCCTACTAACCCCAACATTGTTGGGATTAAGTTGATGATGACTTGGCTATTTTTACACAAGAGTTTTGACTATCTTGAATAAGCTCTATTAATTGTTATTGCAACTCCCTTAGGTTTTTGGACTCTATGTAGCTCCCGAAAACAGGATCCCTAGTCATTGATGGCGCTTGCTTTTAGAGTGCTAGGTTACTAGTTACTTGATGGAATATAAGAATTGTATTACCTTTTGCAATTTTAAAAGGCTAACTATGACCATGTAGGAATTTGATAAGTAATACTTTAAATGGTGTAGGCTTATTCCACTGTTGGAACACCTGATTATATTGCGCCCGAGGTTTTATTAAAGAAGGGCTATGGAATGGAATGTGACTGGTGTGTATCTTGAATATATGTTCTCTTTTCTTTGTGTTGTTTTTTCAATGCTTGAGTTAATTTATTCTGGATATTTCAGGTGGTCACTTGGGGCAATTATGTATGAGATGCTGGTGGGATATCCGCCTTTCTATTCAGATGAGCCCATGTCTACTTGTAGAAAGGTAAAAAACAACATTGGCCATTGAACTTTTATGCATTAAATAGACATCTCTAGGAAAAGTAGGGTTTTATATTTTTATCATGGGACCCAGTAGGATTTGGGGATTTTGTATTTTTTATTATAAGTTGTGTATATTTGTTAATAGAATGAGATTCCGCACAAGTTAGGGTTTGTCTTTTTCTGGGGATGGCGTCTCTGTATCAAGTGAGGTTCCTTACAGATGCTCCTCTTTACATAAGTAAAAAAATAGTCTGGAGCTGTATGGTGCAACTCGGGTGTAGAAAAATGCTAATTGTGGATTCTTTTAGCGCATATCATTTTGTTGCTGACTTACTGAAATAGTGGAAAGAGATTTTGAATGCTCTTCAGAAGCTTCTGCTGCAACATACGGAGTATAAAATTTTACTTCTGATTTCAATGTTTCGTTTTGGCATGGAATTATACTATTAACTAACTACATTATGACAATTAATTGACATTGTAATATCATGCCACCAATTTCAACATAGTTGACATTAAAATAGACAAATAGTTTGTTCTCGGTAGTAGGCAGGCGTAAAACTGTTTCTCTGAAGGTCTAGTTGGTCAAAGCATCATTACGATTGCTGATCGTTGATTTGCCTTGTGTAAATTATGATCCTGATTCTCAAATCTTTGGAATATTATCCCCAGTGTTTTTGCGTAACTTATGTATGATGCATCTATTTTAAGTGGAAATAAAATTGCAATGAAACTTCTATGGTTTGACTTCAAGTTTGTATTTGCAGTCATATGCCAGTGAGTCTAGTCTAGTCTAGTCTAGTCATATATGTCTCATTGCTGCAGATTGTAAACTGGCGAACAAATCTGAAGTTTCCGGAAGAGGCAAAACTATCACCTGAAGCAAATGATCTTATTTGTAGACTTCTATGCAATGTTGAACAAAGGCTCGGAACAAAAGGTGCTCATGAAATAAAGGTATTTAATATTTTTGATTCAACATATAGTCGTGTTGAAGCTTTTGAACGCGAAAATGTTAAGAAGTTAATGTTTTTCTTCTTGAGCACTAATTTTCAGGCTCACCCATGGTTCAATGGAGTTGACTGGGATAAGCTGTATACAATGAAAGCTGCATTTATTCCAGAAGTTAATGATGAATTGGACACTCAAAATTTTGAGAAGTTTGAAGAGGTCAATTTATCAATATTTGATGATATATGCTTATTGATATTTTCTGTTATTTAGTTCCTAATCATTTGATATGCTGTCATGTCTGGCTGCTTTCAGGGTGATAATCAAATGCCAACTGCAATGAAATCAGGTCCATGGAGGAAGGTTAGTATGCCTTGGAGGGGATTAGAGTTCAATCAACATGTAGCTTTGGAGAGAATAATACACTCTTTTTTCTTATGGTCTTTACTCAAACTAATATGGGCCATTGCTTGCTCCATACTAGAGTGAACCAAGTTCAAGTCACATAAATTTTGAAATAGGTTCGTATAAATTTGAAAAAATAGGCATCCAGTTAGGTGGTCTGGGTATGAACATTGTCTTGCAGATCAGTGCTGGGATATCCTCAAGGGGTCAGTTTGGACGGGGGGAGGGGGGGGGGGGGGAGGGGGGAGGGAGTGGATCTTGAAGGGGAGGATTTTGAAGTGCTCAGTCTATATATCTTGAAAAATATTTGAGTTATTTTAATAATTATTTTGAAGCAAACAACTACAACCAAGCCTTAGTCCCAAAAGAGGTAAGGGTTGGCTAACATGAATCGACTAATATTTTAATTTCTACTTACCAAGATATTGACCAAGTGAACACCCAACACAAAAAAAGAAGAAGCTCTCCAAAACCCTCCATTCAAAGTTTCAAACTAATCGGAAGAGATTTGAGTTTAATTTTGTTCGTTTGAAGAACACATAATATGGTCATCATTGTCCATAGTATGCTAGCTAATTCTGTGAGTTCCTTCTTATGTTTGAGTCGTCTTACTTTTCCACTCACTTTTCTCTGTGTAGATGCTTTCTTCCAAAGACGTCAACTTTATGGGTTATACATACAAAAACTTTGAAATATTGAATGACAATGAGGTCCCTGGAATTGGTATGTAGCTCATTCATTTGCTCATATATATGAATAATACAGACTATTTGCATTTTCCACCAACAATTTCACCTCCTCTTTTCCCTCTACTATCTTCCAACTCCCATAGATTTACTGGGATCGCTAAAATTATATTTACATGCTTGATACATTTACTGTCTTCCTTTCAAATTCTGTAAATAAGTATAATTTGCTCTTAATGCTTTTCCTATTTTCAGCTGACCTGAAGAAGAAGAGCACTAAACCTAAGAGGCCAACTGTGAAATCTCTATTCAGTAGGATTTCTGTTCCACTTTAAACTCATTATATTATCCAAACACAACTATTATGATAAGAAAGTTTCCAGCATTCGTCTTACACTATTAGTTCTTTCTCATATTTGGTCTTCTATTTTTATTACTCCCCAACTATCAGTTTATTTTGTATCTTTTGTTTTTTTTCTGGCCACTTTTCCCGCAAAAACTAGTCGGAAGTCGTGAGAGAATTGACCAAGTAAGTGGTCAGAAGGACTAAAAGTTGCAAGTAATCTGTAGTCGTGCATCAAAAGTTGAAGAAGTAAAAGTCAGGAACCAAATTTACATATAGTAAAACATTACATCCTAATGTTGAACTTTCTGGCTTTCTAAAGATCCAAGTTAAGCTTATAAAGTCAACATAGAATCGGGTTTTATGATGTATCATAATTTATAAACCTATTTTTAGCATTTATGGCATCACATACCAGTTAAGAAGAGATGTTGAATTTTACATGATTTCACAGAGGAAGATGCTAATTCTGGTTCTGCCAAACCAACTCAAGGCAGTTTCCTCAATCTGCTGCCACCACAGTTAGAAGTTTCCAAAGAGGGTGAATCAGAATCTTTCTAACTTTTCTGACAGTCAGGCGAACTATATTCAGTTATGCATATCATACAGAGCAACATACTGATCTTAATTAATCTTTTGTAAGTATTTCAAGGGAAAAAGGTTGTTTGTGTTATAAGTCTGTACTTGTGTGGGTTCTTAGTGTCCTTCAACTGTGTAAATTATTCTTGAAGTGCAAATAGCATTTTTAAAAGGTAATTTGTGTTATTCTCCAGTCTTTTTGGTTTGTTTGTAGTAATTTAAATTTCCACTGGGAAGTCCTAGTCAATCAATTTGTATTGCCGAACACACCGATTCTCTTGGCAAGCATTTGAGTTGGTTTCATAATGTGTTATGGACTTGTGGCCACTTTTGACTTTGTTTTTCGAGTGAAGCTTTTATTACCATTTTTTTGCAAATTGCAACTGCACTCAAGTTAGTATAGAGCTTCTTTCATAAAAAAATGTTCTTATATGTTCTGTAATTATGTTATCTCAATAAACTTAAACTTTATTCCCCTTTAATATTCGGTGTTCGAATTTCATTTACAGTTCCATAAAACTGGTATAGTTTGTCAATATGTAAATGTTGATTATTGATCCATTTGTTTTGTTTATGTATATTATCTCAATTCTATACACTTAATCTCGTATAAGGGTACTGTTCAAACAAAAATAGTGCTTAATGCAAAAAGAGTTAATTATCAAAATAGGACTAAAAGTCATTCACTTTTCACAAATAGGACCAAAAAATGAACTATGTTTGCATAGAACTAATTATGTGTACCTTGGACAATTATACCCTTATAGCTATTAAAATGTTTTAATTCCTAATAAAATAATAAAAAATAATAAAATTTCGTAAAAAATACTAAAAAATTAAGAAAAACATTTCGATATTAAAAATTTAATTAATTTTTTTTTAAAAAATAAAAAAAATAATAAAAAAAAAACTCAAAAAAAAAAATCGCCACCGCCTCTGCCGCCTCAGCACCACCACCTCCAGTCAGCAGGGAAAAAAAAGCCAAGTTCATTACGAATGCCATATTTATGTCAGAAAAAAATGAAAATGTTGGCATTCAAAAAGAGAAATATGCCACTTTTTTGTCATTTTAAGAAAAAATGGCATTTTTTCTGGGAAAATGGCATTTTTTCATCGGCCGGAGGTGGTGGTGCTGTGAGGTAGTACAGGCGGTGGGAAAGGCATCCATATTTTTTAAAATTTTTTTACGGAGTTTTACTATTTTTTATTAATTTTTTTTAAAAATAAAATTATTTTAAAAAAAAAGTTTTTGAATTTTTTATTTTATAAAAATTTTATAATTTTTTTAATTATATTTCTACGAATTTTTGAATTTTTTTCGAATTTATTATGAATTAAACTTTAATTATGACTTGACTATTTTTAATTCATATTTATGGAAGGGTAATAATGGAATGCAAAAATAGATATGTTTCCAATAGGACTCATATGGTCCTATTTTGGAATAAAAACATAGCAAGTCTTATTTTAGGTTTTTGCCATAGTTTTAGTCCTATTTGAACTAATTTCTAAATGCAAAAAATATGAATCTCCACTTTTATTTTCCTACATTGTACCTTAACATTCAATTGATACATTCTATTGCAGTGATGAAAGGTTTGCCAATTTACAAAATTATCAATGCGTTTTTTAAATTGGTGATTTTTTTTTTCACTGCCAAAAATGCAGTGATTCAGCATATGTATGCAACCTAGCAAAGTGAATATAAGACTTACGTTTCACATGTTAAACCCATTTTATTCATACCAAATTACACCCACATCATTCTGACGAGCACTTTGTCACGGTGCGTCAAAATAATTTCAATACTAAACACTTATACGTAGTATAGCGTAGTAGAGTTCGTATCCACAGGGAAAGGAATATTTCTCTTTTTATGATACTTAGTAAATAAAAGGGGGGTTTGGATTGAGTGATTTAATTTAATTAATAACTAAGATGAACAACCTATATGAGATTTAATTCAAAGATAAAAAGGACTTGACATTGCTACTTTCCACTTGTTGATATATTTTAGTCGATCATTGTTATATCTATAACTTATTCCCTCTCGAATACTCAATCGGGGAGTATATCCACTTCATCGAGGGTAGTTATTAACAACGACTGTTCATTACTAACCCTTACTATTAATCAAATATAGAACAACGCCTTATACCGATTTAATAGTAGTATTTAATCTTTCTAACTCCTTGATGAAATCAATTGAGATTGATAACCTCAACACAACGGTTTAGGTTTAACCAACAAATTAATCCCTCTTAAGTTTATTAACCACGACCGTGCATTAATAAACCGAAGTTACTTACTTGTGAAACCATCAACGATTAACCATCGGTTCGTTGATCGTTTCTAGTAATAATTAATATATGAAACAAAACTAGTTGATCTTTTAAGTAATGTTCAAAATATTAATATGAAATATGAGTAGGAATCAATTAATATTCAAGGAAGAATATTATTAAAGAAGATGAATCCTACTATAATTAATATCAAGATGTTAACTAATTGTCATCTTAGCAACACTCCCCAACATTAATATAGAGGAAGAAAATACCATTCTAACTAATGTCGAGATGTTAACTAATTGTCATCTTAGCAAAACTCCCCAACATTAATATAGAGATGATATTAAGGGAAGAACTATTAATTAATATTCAAGGAAAGAAATTAAGAAAATAACTCACAACTTTAATAATCAACAAGCTTCAAGAGCAACACCAAGAATGGAAGTTTAGCTCCTCATTTGGAGGCTAAACATAGCTAGAAAAATATTAAGAAATGCTATTCTAAACTGAGCTAAAGAGTATGGAAGAAGGGATGATTTTTAGAGGAGAAAAAAGAGTGCTATTTATAGGTGTTTTTCAACACCTTTGGCCGGGTACCCGACCGGGTCAAGTACTCAACCGACCGGGTCCGGTCAAAATCAGATATTTCCTCACGTTCTGGTGATCTTTGCACACCGGGTTGTCCCCGGTCACTTCTCACCCGACCGGGTGAGGTATGGGGCCCGACCGGGCCCAGCTGTTTCCTCAGTGCTTCGGTTTTCAAATCAGACCCGACCGGGTGCAATTTCCTACCCGGTCGGGTATTTGCTCCTGGACAGTTAAAATTCCTTTTTCTTCACTTCAACATCCTCCTTTCCAACATCCTAATTCCTAATTCTACTTTAAAACTTACAAATGAGAATTAAAATACAATTACAACTAAAATCACACAAATGTGTTCAAACCAAATAAAACGTCAAACAATCACCATCAATGAAACATAAAAACATACAATTATGCACTACTAATTAGTGTGCATCAAACACCCCCACACTTAAACCTTTACTCGTCTCGAGTAAATCAAATCAAATCCAAGAAGTCCTAAATGACAAGAATATCAATACAAAACATCCAAGAGTGTTTTTACCACAATACAAAGCATCCCCAATAATAATTAAAGTAAATTGGGGTCTTCAACTTCATCTTTATCTCCATTTCTCTTTTGAACTTATCACCTTCAGGATCCTGCAAAATAGACATTTCTCTCATTCTCTCGTTTTGCCTAGGTGCCCTTTCAGGTTTTCATCCCAGCTTCCCACATTTTTTTTATTTCTCACAACCTCACTCTTTATTTTATTGCTTTAATTTTTGCTTGAGTTGCCCTTTGTGGGTTTTCAACTCAACAAGCTCTTTTTTATTTATTTATTTATTTTTAAGAAAATAAAATAAAACAAGTAGGATTGTGAGCATACCAGAACAATCTCTGCACCCCCACACTTAGGATCTGACACTGTCCCTGGTGTCCGCCTAGACCTCCACCTTGGTGTCTGTCCTCATCCATGTGATCCCCGCCATAACCACCATCGTAGCCTCCACCACCGGAGCTCGATCCTCCAAAGAAACCCCACTGAGAGGGGTCATACCATGATGGTGCAGGAGGTGGAGTGGTCATAGAGGAAAAGGAGCCATGGTGTGCTACATAGGAGTATATCGGACCAAAGGTTCGCCGTTGATCCTCTTCATATCTCCGCCAGTCTTCCTGCCGTTGTTCCTCCAACCTCTCAAAGCTATGCCTCTGTTCAGTTCTATACTGATCAACTCGCTCTTGAAGCTGGATGTAGTTGTTGTTGATCATGTTCATGTTATTGAGCATCTGTTGCTCGAATGGTGAGTATTGGTAGGCTGGGGCATCAGGTTGTTGTTGTGGTGGGTTAGGTATCAAGGGTGGGTTTTCTTCAGCATGTTCTTGATCCGATTCATCTTGTGCATAGTGTGCCGGGATTGCCCCGGGGAGACAGTAGTGATGACCATCACCGATTTCATGGCCCACGATATCTAGGGGGACGTCAGGGGACGGGATATGGATAGTTATGTTTTGACGTGGGATGATAAACCAGTTGTAGATTGGTGTCCTAGTAGGTGTCATGTGAGATAGAGCCAAATCTTTGGTCTTTTGCACAAGCCATGACGTGCAAATGAGCTGTTTCGGGGTAATGGGGCCTGGGTCTACAAAGCCATATAAAGTGGCTAGATGTGTGATTAGGCCCCCGATCACAATTTGTCCGCATGACGTTGCCACATTTTTGAAATGGGTCCATAAGATAGAGGCAACGTCAACTGGTTCTGATCCAGGTAAAACAGCTTGTGCCAGAACGCACACATCCCACATTCTTGTGTGGTGATTGTTCGGTCTTCCGAGGAAACAATTTGAACAGAATTTTAGGAAAATACGGAAGACCGGGTGTTGAACACAGTTCACACTCAACTTAGAAAGGTCCACCACACCTTGTCCTGTCATTCTTTTCCATAACTCGTACCCCACAAGCGTATCATAAGCATGAGCTTCATCAAACAGAGGGAGGCCAAAATGATGTGCAAATTCTCTTTTGGTCAATGAACGATTTTCATTGAGTAAACGAAAGGTGATGGTGTCATTTGCATGATCATCATCATCCTTTGTATACACATATGAACTAAAGAATTCATAAACCAAATGAGGATAAGTCACATATTGCATTTCTAGCAACCTAGTCATTCCAATTCTTGCAAATATATCACGCATGATCACATCAATCCAAAGGAGGGCTAGAGTAGTAATGCACATGAATCAGGATTGTTTTGCCTCCCTTTGTGCTTGTCCCTCGAAGAGTCGCTTTTGTGCCTCCGTTGCAAATTCCACGCTTTCATAGCCCGCTACCGGTGGGATTGCCCTTGAAGAAGAAGCTTTGGATTTTTTTGGAGCCATGGGAATTGATTTTTTTTGTTTTTTTAAGGTGATTTTCGGACTTTGGGGTAGGGTGGGATTTGGATGGCCTGTATGGGTATGGGGTTGAAGAGGATGGTGAGAAGAGTAAGAATATGGTATTGGTTGAGGATTTTTGGGGAGATTTCGGACCTTGAATGTCCGAGAATGGGGATTTTAGAATTTTGGGTAGGGTTTTTGGGTTTGGTTGATTGGGAAGGTTTTGGGGGATTTTATGGGTATAGAGATGGAGAGGGAAGTGAGGAGATGAAGAAAATGGGGTTTTTAGTGGATTTGGTTAAGGAAATGGGGAGATTCGAAGGGTTGGGTGTTTGAAAATGGTGGAATTTGGGTATTTTGGGTGTTGGGAGGAAGAAGAAGTGGGAGGGGAAGGGGGTGAGCTCGACCTGGTATACTGTGTTTTCCCGTTCGCCCGGTCGGGTGGGGTAGTTTACCCGGTCGGGTGAACGCTATTTAACCGAGGCAGAATGTTTTTGTTGGGTGGCCCGACCGGGTGAAGTGGTCTACCCGATCGGGTGTAAACTGTTCACCCGAGGCAGAAAGGTGTAGCTAGGTTGCCCGGCCGGATATAAAAGCCTACCCGGTCGGGCGCAAAATTAATTTTTGTTTTTTTTTCTCTCGCCTTGCCCGGGTGGTTGCCCGGGTGTTTAGTTTTTAGAAGTAACCCAACCGGGTTAGGGTATTTACCCGACCGGGTCCAATCCCAGTTCATTTTTTTTTAAACACACACTATTAAAAATAAAAAAAATGAAGAAATTGGGTTGCCTCCCAAGAAGCGCTTGATTTAATGTCGCGGCACGACGTTATATATATATATATATATATATATATATATATATATATATATATATTCTTTTATGTGGGATCGTGAACATCCCTTGTTTCATTTTTCTTTTTCGGCCTTCTCCAGTAAGGCCGGGATTTCTTCTCTGGTATCACTTCAATCTCAGGTGGGATCCATTCTCCTTTCGAAAATTTGAAAAATTCTTCTTTTTCAAAAAGTTTGATTTTTTCATATTTTATCTCAACAAAAATATTCGGTGTTTGTGGTTCACAAACATTTAGAGAACAAAGAGATTGGTCTTCAATCTGTTTTTTCGTAGAATAAAAAATGTTGAATTCTACCTTTTGATCATCAAACTCTAAAGTTAATGAACCATTAGACACGTCTATTTTTGTTTTTGCGGTTTTTAGAAAAGGCCTACCCAAGAGGATGGGTGTAGTTTGGTTA